AGTGCAGTGATTTAGTCAAAATTATAACACGAAAAGGAACGATCGAAAATTGTCAATATATAAATGTAAATTCAACTGTTGACATCTGTGCCTGCGTATTAAATATATAAACACCTCTTGCCTTGTTTTATAAATAGTACGCTTGTATGGAAGGAAATCATTAATAAAAGTCTCAAACAAATAGCTTTCTTATTGTGGAATACACTGTGCAATTTATCCCTTGGTCCCAATGGACAAAGACAAAGTTTTCAAACTTGAGTGTCTCAGATGTGGCGAAAATTAGCAAAAGCTTTCTTAAATCAGTGGCCCTGTTTTATATATGGGTGTGAGTTATGTAGACATAAGGGAAAGGACAACTGGAATTTAATAAGAATCTAATAGTTTTCCATGTGGTGCAACATGTATGAAGACCTGTCTTAATAACATTTGCCTTGGATTTGTTAATTAACCATTGGAGACATTACATACATTCCATTTTGCTTGCCAAAGTTCACAGACAAAATATTTACATGGGTAAAATCCATTTTGCAAGGCAAATTTCCCTATAACCATACAAACAGTCACTGACGAAACTTCCCAGTGATAGACGTGTTTTCAGGGATGGATCCAGCATGATCTGGTAGGGGGGGGGGGTGCTCTGCCAGCTCTGGTGTCGAGTGACTCGAGTTGTGTCGTCATGTGTGCAGCCCGCCATTAATATACAGCAACAGCAGTATTTTGACAATTTGGCAAAACAACAACCTCCATGTGGACGTGGTACAAGTGTACTGTGTACAATATCTCATTTTGTCTCTAATATTTTTTGCTTTATCATGAAAAATAACACACACACACCCTGGCCGGGGAGGGGGGTATGCACCCTCCCCCCAGTAAATGCATCCCTGCATGTTTTGCTATTAATTGTTACATTACAACCACCCAAAAGTCTTTCAATGGTGGGTATATATTAATTGTAAGCTGTGAAGCTTTAGATAAACCCATTGTCTGCACTCTCCCCCGGAATAGTAAAATTATCTGATGTTAGACAGAGTAAAAGCAGGGGCGTGCCGGCAAGGGATGAGACAACAAGAACTTGTTGTGGGCCCCTGGCATTGTAGGCTCTTACATGATTCATGCCGATCTAGATTTATTATATTTAAAACAAATATATGTCAAGAGCAATTTTATTTAAACATGAACAAGGGAGATACATATAATTAGGGAATATACAGATACATCATCAATTTCTTTGTTTATCAAATCATGGATGTCATGTGGCCAGTACGTGTAACACAACTAGGCATATACTATATTAGAAAGAGGTTGTTACATGTGTCACAATGCAACTTAATGGGTTTAGCATATTCACATGATATTAATTAAGCCCTTATTAAGGGGGTGAGTTCCAGTTAACTATTCAACCAAGTGAAGCCTGGTTCATATATACCTGCTGTTTGTTGATGCGCTATTGTTGTTAAAAGTTCAACTAAATAATTCACAAAAGAATGTATGCGTCAACAGCTGTAAACAATGATAATGCAGGCATATGTAAACCAGGCTTAAGATGCCAACAAAATCTTGATTTTTGTAGTAATCAAATTTCTGTAGTTGATATTTCCAAGTTGTTATCTCTCCTCACTTATTGAAATGGTTGCTTCAACAGAAAGATCTTTTCCTTTGATATATCAATTCACTTAACATGTTGCCAAATGTCTGATGATTTACTAAAATTAGTAAAATATAATCAAAATGTCAACCCCTTCATATAAGTAAACATGCCAAAATAATATTCCAGAAAACAATACAATTTAATATAATCCCTTTATTAAACAATTATACCTTTCGTATCGTTCCATTCTTCGTTTTGCGTTCGAAATTATGCCAGATAATTTCCTCAAATTGTAGTTCCTCGGCTGAACAATTGATACATTGTAAACATTTGGCTGCTTCGAGCGAGCGATTCAATTAAATTTGCACGTCGTTTTTAGACCGCGAGAGACATTGCGATATATAATCTTTTCAATTGACCAACTAATTTTAGTATAACTTGGATATTTCGATGCATTATAAAACATTTTTAAAGTTAATACTCGCAAGCTTCGCTCCTCGCCTGAAGATTTCAAACTGAATATATAATTAGGGTCAAAAGCCTACTTAGGGGGTGGGGTACATTGACACGGCCACAAGGTACATTGACACGTCCATTTTGTTCGATTTATGGCAGGCCTCTCTCCCAGAAAATTTTTTTTTCAAACCCATTCGCAGGCTAGAACCCATAGAGAGGCCTGCGGAGGAGGCTAGAAGGACACAATATCGAAGATAAAATACACTGCACTGTCTCACAACTTGATGAAACTTGGTTGAAATATTCTTTAGCCATTTATGATTATGTAAAAGTACAACAACAGGATCATATTTGCGAGACTCGGCGATAAAAAGCAAACAAGACGGCAAAATATGGCTGAAATCGTGGGGTGTAAGTGAAATAAAATGTATTATTATATATCAATAGTCAAAGTTGCATTTTTCTAGTGTTTTATTGGTTGAGAGCATATCACGTGAGAGTGACGAAATTAGGCTGTCTCCCTCGCAACAGCGCGAGAGGGAGATAATACGTTATCGACCGGCGAATAACAAAAAAAATCACGTGCGCCATCACGTGAAGATGCGACCTTTGGACATGCCTAGTACGCAATTAAAACTTTCGCTTTAAGTAACTGCAGTGTAGCCAGTGTTTAATATAACGTTTTAACAATAAAATATTTCATGTATTTACGTTCATTTGTTCTTTAATTTGTTGTTTCTTTGACTATTGATATTTAATAGAACACTTATTTACTGAGACCTCGGGAAAGCAGTGTGTTTTGTGGACCCTCGACCGTCGATGTTTCCCTCGGCTTCGCCTCGACGGTCTCGGGTCCACAAAACACACTGTTTCCCTCGGTCTCAGTAAATAAGTGATAATTGTTTTTCTAAAATGGCAAATTCTAACGACGTCAGCAATGACGTGCGATGCAACTGCTCACGTCAGGTCATTTTGGAAGTTCTTTCATTTTGTTAATCAGTTTCCGCGCGACCTGCGCGTAAAAATGTTTACCCGGTTTTGTTCGTGATTCTTGGGCAGGGTTTTTGTGATAACTATATCGATCAACCTTAACTGGTAATTTTAAAGCTTATTCGTTGGGGGTATTGCTACTGCCCACTGGGTTGGAGGTTAAGACAGTGTAACAGAAAAATCCTAATGTGCCTTCCCTCCTCCGCCGGCCCTCGTTGCGTCATAAGAACTGCCTCCTCCCAAGGCCCTTGTTGCGTCATGGGAAGGTTACGATTTCGAGAGGATTGTACGTGACCAGATTATGCGTCACAATTTTGTGTGTGACCTTCGCATGATGCAACGAGGGCCTGCAGAGGAGGCAGTAGAGGGCCCAGGGAATGTTGTACGGTACTACAATATACTTATATGCACATTAAAATAATTATGTACCAGATGTATACTGCTTCAAAGGACGTACAACTTCTTGTTCAACAAATTCATCTACAGCCATGCCCCTTCCAGGTTCGCCATTTATGTTTACAGTGCAATTTCTCGTCCACATTCTCCTAACTGCAATAGGCCAGACAGCTAATATATTTGTAAGATGCACAAATGCTTCAACTGAGTAATTTGGCTTATTGAATTGATGGAAAAGTGGCATCATTTGCATCCATGCAACCTTGATAAAAAATATATTTAAAAAATATAATTCCAAAGACTGAAAAGTTGGTTAAAAAATTTTTGCCACAGAAGTCACAGCGTTCTCTTTAAGACCCAGGCGGGAATGCCATCTGGGCCAGTTGCTTTCGTTGCATTAAGAGTTGACAACATCTTGAAAGCAGAAAACTCGGTGACGGGCAATAGGCAATTCCAGCTTTTAGTTTACGCGTGCAGGGAACGATGGGAAGTAAGGTATCACATTGCTGATTATGCTGAAAAAATAAAAATGGTGGCTGTGTAAACACGGAGTGATAGCTTATACTTGTAAATATTGAAATATTTCGGTTGTTTCGGTAGTTTTTATTGAAATTTTTCAGCATAATCAGCAATATGATACCTTACTTCCCATCATCCCCTACAGACATAAACTAAAAGCTGGAATTGCCTATAGACTCGGGAAATTATCATCCTCGTTACTTCAAGGCGTAAGAGGGAGAGTAGTGGATTAAAGGCTTTCATAGGCGTTACAAAGGATTCGTTAATCATGTTTGCAAGCAAGTTTCTCAGGAGCATGATCAGATGGCAATGACTCTTTATCAATGTTGTGCAGGCTTGACATATGTACTTACAGTACATGGTACTAAATTTGCATATAAATTAGTCGCGTCTAAAGTCAACAGGTTTTACTAAATCTTTACTAGTTTTGTAATTACTTGCCCTATTGGCATCAACGAGGACTTATTCGATAGGAAAATTCTTGAACTTTAAAATACATCCAATATTAAAATATTTGCCATACAAGAAAACTAAAGGCAAAAATCCTACCTCTCTTCCCAGACCACAACCATAACTAATGGAGTCTTCATATAATTCGAGCAGTGGGCCATAAATGTCTAACATCTCGCATCGGTAACGAAAATGTTTGTCTTTAGCTGATGAATTTTCAAGCCTGAATTTTCGAGTTTAAAATTCTGGAGAACAATTGTTTCATGCGATCCAGTTCTTTTCTTACATTCACTGAGGTCGTCTTGACTAGGAAATAGTTCTGTCTGCATGAACTCATAGATAGCAGCATAAAGGTAGGATTCAGATATGTCTCTACACTCTTCACGTATTCTTTGGAGGTTTCCGTCTTGAAACTTTTTCTTACTGAATGCCTCAGGTGTGACTTTTTTCTTCTTCAAAATATCATGGGATATATGCAGAAATCCTCCTGCAGCTTGGGCTTTGCAAATTACCTCACACAAATAACCAACAGCATGAAGGTCACCGGGAACTCCACACACCCAGTTGTGAACGTTTGATCTAACTTGTACTCCTCTAATAGTTTTGTTAGTTCCTTGATCGCCTACTGCTAAGGTTAGACACCCTTGTTGTGATCTATCAAATGAGTAAACGTTGCTTGGCAATATTCGGGAATTACAGTTTTGGTCGTCTAGGTGACTTTCTCCTTCTTCCCAAAAGATGCTGCTTATTTCTTTATTTTCAAAATCTTCTACGTCTTCATCGAATAATGAAGCCATTTCTTCAAGACCCATCATCTCGGCCATTTCCTGTGGATTGGGGATATTAGGGTAAAGAAATGCTTGAAATGAGGCATGATACTGCAAAAGAGTTTCAACCATGTGCTTGTTCATAGACAGAACTGCTAGAGTTAATGGAGTAGCACCACAGCCTTCTGTTGCATTTGGATTTGCTCCAGCTTTCAAGAGTGCTTTAGCAAATGAAGTGTAATTTTTTTCAATTGCAACATGAAGAATATTTCTCTGTAGATGGTCTCTGACTGAGTACCAATTCTCTACATGCTCTTGCATTTCAAAAAGAAATGCTTGGCTGCTTGCTACATAATCCTCACACTGCATAAACCTCTCTTGAAAATCTCTCTCAATTTCTTCATAGGCTTTTTTAAAATGCATGTCAGTTTCTTTCCAAAAAACGTTTATATCCATGTCTTGGTTATCTACTTCGCCACTTAAAAACGAATCCCTTTCACGATTATCTTTGTGTTTCTTCAGCACAAGCTCAAATTCATATCTCTCTCTTGCCTGACTGAGATGGAACGATTTTTTTTTTTCATCAAATGAAATTCCTGTTACCGGTTCTTTTAAGGGTATACTTAATTCAGCAGCAATTTCTTCTAGGCAAACTGCTTGGCCAGCTAAAGTTGAGTTGTCTTCAACAGACAGAGGAAGAATAAAGGTTTCTGTTTTCCTTGAAGTGGTTTCTGGCAAGACAGTGGTCAATTTTGGTATATTTATCTTGTATTTACCATTGTTCAGACATTTTTCAATGTCAAACTGGTTGAGGAATCTGTCTATTACTTCACATGTTAGCATTTTGTAGCTGGACAATGGCTGTAGAGCATTCAAAACAGTATCGATTGCTTTTAAGAAATAATAATCTTTATATGCATCCCAGAGAACTTTGTGTTCTGCATTATTTTCTAAAAGAGGAAATTTTACTCAATTTAAATATTAGATTAATACTAGAAATTCTCGGAATATTAACATTCCTTTATATTTTAAAAGTAAGTCTGGGCAACGAACATTTAATTATCAGGCTGTTAGCCTCTGGAATTATGGAACTCGTTGTTCCCAGAGTTCAAATCAGGGAAATCACTTCAATCTTTTAAACATACACTATACAAACAACTACTCAGTGCATATGAGTAATTCTAGATGAGTATATAACTTTCTTGTAAATCATATTGTAATCTATTTTCTAAATTGTATCACTGAAAAGCCCTTTTTAGGGAGTGGTAAAAGTCTAAAACTTTGTACTTCTATTTCAGGATTTAAACGTAGTCTTAAGAAACAACTATTGCATGAGTTTCTCACTAATAGACCTTTCCCCTTATGAATGAAATTTTGATCTACAGAGACAAGCCTGGACAAAAATTTCATCACAGCTTGAAAGAGCATCACAAAATTAGTAATATTCCGAAGTCTCGTTGCGAAATGTTGTAAAATGCGGATAATATAGCCTTGCGAAGTTTGCCGACTGCCGTTCTTCAGTCACGGGAAATTGGTAATCAGATGATGTACTAACCAATTTTTCATTTGTAATACAAAATGACTGAAAAACGGCAAACTTCGCAAGGCTATATTATCCGCATTTTACAACATTTCGCAACGAAACTTCGGAATATTACTAATTTTGTGATGCTCTTTCAAGCTGTGATGAAATTTTTGTCCAGGCTTGTCTAGATCAAAATTTCACTCATAAGGGGAAAGGTCTATTAGCTGTCATTGATGGAAAATAGGTCAGTTAAATTTTTCTAGCTTTAAAGAACTTAGAATTCATTTTATTTGTTAATTATCTCTGAAAAGCTCCATTGGGGACGAGTTAATACTTGTAACTTGTAGTCATAGAAATGTACACAATCAGAATCTCATGCATATGTATGTTTGTAGGTGTACATGCCTTAATAATTGGAGGCAAGCTGAAATAACCTCTGGACCAGAGAAGGATTTCTCCGATTCAATGACACAATGTCCCAAAAATTGTTTCCAAATTGTAAAGTATTCCACAGTACAGTTTAAGCAAAACACAAGGATTTTGCATTCAATATACAGCCAATTAAAAAAGATAGGAGATATTTACCATGTCTCTAAGAAATGGGTCCCATACATGATTTCTAAACTGATTAAATGATGCTGTACCTATCAAATAGTATGATGCCTCCATGGTTTTCACTTGTCTTTGTGATTCTTCTGCAGTGTCCTTGTCATGAAAGAGATCTTCAATTCCATTGAGATTTGGGCGTATCATGCATTTGCCAGTTAAGTTGTAGTCTGGTCTTACAGTAGAAGTTGAGTCCCTAAATGCTCGGTCATGACTTCTCTGTGGCTTAGAGATATTGATATTGTCAAGGGCTACTATAACAGGCATTTGCTTCAGCACAAAGTTGTCAATAGCCAGTTGTTTCATTTCCATTTGTTTGTCAAAATGATGCATTCTGAAAAATATTAAATTCACCATACATTATTGTACAAGCTACAGTTGTACAACAACTCTTGGGGAGCAAAGACCCTGGTAGACGCTGGTCACGTGATTTGGATTATTTTGATAGTTTAATTTATAATTTGCATTTGTATGATTGTCGTAAAGAAAACCAAGATAGTTAATTAGAAATCTGCTAGATTTTAGCGGATCATGTGACCAGTGTCTACAAGGTTCTTTGCTCCCCAAGAGGAAAGACCCTGGGTACGAGGTTGACTCAACCACTGATAATGCTAATTGCATGTGATTGCGGGCGCTGGTCAAATGCCCGGGATGTAGTAAAACCCCCCTTACACTACCATGCATCCATATAATATGCATGGTACGTCTCTTTAACTGGCACACAAAGCCTCATTTATAGAACTAAGCTATTACATAGGGTTTTTATGGGGGTTTTTATGCAGAAGAGCAAAAAAAAACAAAAAACCTATTTGCATAAAATTCATATGCCATATTGTAGTCCTACTGTAGTTTTCAGTAGTTACAGTAGGTGCATGGCTTGTGGTACTTTGGAAAAGCTAGTAAATATTAAATTTGTTTAAATCTCCCCTTGACAAGTCTACTGTATAACAGCAAACAATATTAATTAATCATCAAGGAAAAAGCTGAACCTAATGCACCTTATTAATATGTTAAATAAAAATAAAATAGTACACCATAATTAAGAGCCTTCAAATACAATTGCATTCAATGCACACTATGGTTTGTAGACTTAACCCATTGAGTCGCATTTTCCCCAGAATCCAGATGCATCCTACTTAACTTTATTAACCAGATCGATGCACCCTACTTTATTATTTTACTCTGTCTAATGCCAGATTATTTTACTCTGTCTAACACCAGATGTTATTACTCTTCAGGGGGATAGTGCTGCCACTCAATGGGTTAAAGCAATTAAACCACACAATAAAGTACATAAATCCACAAAAAAAAGCAAACTGCAAGGGACTACAGGTACAAGGTGAGTTTATAATATAGTAAATAACAAAAATAATATATTTACATTGTCTTCCAATGAACAGTTATCCCCATTGACTGCAGCATATTTAAATATGCAGGACCAGCTCCATAAGATACCAGAAGCACACCAAACAGAAAGGCAAAGTCATTTGGTAGCCGACTGTTTCTGATATTCAGCAAACCTGTCATTACGAGATTGACTGCCATTTTCATCTTTTGGTTATTGGTTTTGAGTGTATTCCTTTCTGTTGTTGACACAAGAACCAGGTTCTCCAGTACACTGTGAAGCAGTGGACATTCATCCTTTATTGTTTTTACCATTTTGTCAAATATGTCAGCGTGAATAGTGCTATTACCTTGAGTTCTTATCCCTGTATTGGTTAGTTTACTTAAGTAGGCAACCTCTTGTTTTAGTTTATGAGCCTGTTGGATGTTAAATACTTCTGATGAATTATTAGACTTTTCCATTTCATTTATAACTGTGTCATAGGTTGTCAAAACAGCGTGGTGAAGGTCTTTCAACTCTTTGCTTTGCTTGATTAATTCTTCAATTTTTTCGAGCTCATATGGATTATCACGTAATTTCTCAAGCTCATCGTGTAAGCAATTGGCCTTGGTTGAAATGGCAATTTTTAAATGAGAGAGTCCTGTAATAAAAAAGGGGGGAAATATCGGAAATACTGTAGATGTGTTGTTTTTCGTCTGTTTACAGAAATAGAAAAAACAAAAATGTTCAGACTGCCATAGAGAATGGGAAGAGCTATGACATTTAATACCCAAACCCCCGTCGGGTAATTAGTCGTTTTTTCCAGACAGGTAAATGGGGGAAAATGGGAGAAAACTGCCGTTTCCAGAGGGGTTAAAATTTCAGAGGGGTAAAAATCCCCAAAAGCAGAAGTCCACGACAGCCATGTATTAGGGGCCACGTCTATATTCATGTTGCCACAAATAATGTCAAATCGATGTTATGAGTGGGTCCACTGGTGGGTGGGTTTTCATAAGATTTAGTGAACTTGTCAACGTTTATCTAAGTGGCAAATTATTTGACAATTAATGTCCAAAGTAACTATATCACTGCATGTACAACTTTTGTAATTGTAAATACAAAAGTCAAAATACGACTGAATATCAATCGACATTATCTGGGATGGGTGGGTTGAAGTAATAAGGTCGATTTGACGTTATTTGTGGCAATATGAATATGGATTTACTCGATCAGATTTTACTCGTCAGTGGTATAGGGTAAGTACTGCCAGTAAATGAATTAAGTTATCCTACCACTGAGGCACTGACAAGTAAAATAGTCTGGCATTGGACAGGGTAAATACTAAAGTAGGGCGCATTACTGCATGTGCTGATGGGTTAACTAGGCCAAATAAAAATAATAGTTGGTTTCAGGTTTCCGACCGACCTGTTTATATATATAGTGACATGACCAACCATAAACATTTTATTTAAACGTTTAGACTGAACATCGTTGGCACTAAATATTTAGTTGTTGCTCCTTTCCTTGCATGTCAAGTTTTATATGTAATATTGTATGCAGGTGAAAACACAGCCTGCCTGATGTAAAAACAATAAAAACTAAGAGTTTATAATGAGTTTTAACTTATATTTACATACTTGAGATAAAATATTTTTTAGAATAAAATGTTTTTCCGACCTACCTACCCATATAAAACTGCAGTAGTGCCCCTACTTTAGTATTTACCCTGTCCAACGCCAGACTATTTTACTTTTCAGTGGTAGGGTACTGCCAATAAATGGGTTAACAAGAATAACAACAACAGGATATTTCTGAAGGACTCGTTTAATCCAACACCCTGTGCTTTGGATTTAATTTGTGCAACACCACTTTGTCTTTTGCTGTCAAAGGCAGCATTACTACCCTGTGTGTAACCTAGTACTTTAATTTTATGTGAGGAGGGTCAAAACGATTAAACGAACATAAAACTTCATAAATATTTATGTCATATTTTATATTAACCTGTTGCGTGTCGTTTCGGAGTTGGAAGAATTGATTCTCTACTCCCTGGTGTAAGTTCATGTTTTCCTTTAATTGGTGATGTAATTGGAGTCTGTAGTTTTCCTTCGTAATCAGATACGCCCAGATGCGTCTGTAAAAGGTCTAATAAATCTTCAACTTCGTCTTCCGATTCTTCAGGAATTGCCGCCATTACTATTGCATAATTTTCGCACAATATACTTATACTATTCGCACAATATACTTATACAATATACTATTTATTCATTTTACAAGATTCCGCAGGCCCTCTCCAGATCGTGACCTTCCCATGACGCAATGAGGGCCTGCGGAGGAGGCAGGGCTAGTGTGCTCACAGCAGCCTGGCACTAGGAAGATTAAATTATATCATAGAATTAGCACCCTAGATTAACGTAAAGTTTAATGCTAATCAGGTGTTAATCCTCAAGGGTCAGCGGTTTTGAGAGACTCACCTCCATATTTTATAAACTCAAACTTTGACAAGCACAGTGCTTCCACTTCTATGGAATATTCCATATTTTATGGAAATTTTAGTGTGAAAAGGAAACTTCTATGGAAACAAAATAAATGTGGAAATTCTATGGAAATTCGAACTTGATTGCTATAATTTAAGATTTACCCAAATAGACTTTTTAAAATTCAGTATAAAATTTGATTTTTGAATTATGATTGCATAACATGGTAACAGGCTAGTATTGGTTATTAGGAGCGGCTAGGAGCATGGAACATATAGGATAATTGAGGATATTAAGTAATATAAAGGGATGTTATGATGTCGAGCATGGATTAAAGGGGATTAATGGATTTGGCACGAAAACATCGCAAACATGGCGACAGTCAAGAATGAACGCAATGGAGTGTGAAAGCGACTCCTCAAGTGAAGAAAATACAGATAATGAGCTCAAAAAGCAACAGAGTAAACAGGAGGGAAAGAAAAAACAAACGTATGAACAGACGTTTTGTAATGCTTGGCTTTCCAATGTGAGGACACACAGAGGCATGCAAGATGACTGCTGAACTAAGGAAATCACAGTTAAATATTGGAGAATTTTTAGGTGCAACAGACAAGTATGTGGCCAAACTAGAAATAAAACTATGTAGCTTTATTGTTGAACATAATATACCCATCCAATTAAGTGATGATCTCTTAGCCCTACTGTCCAGCTTATTTCCATCATATAAGACCGTTCAAAAAGCAACATTGGGAAAGCAGAAAGCGACAAATGTTATTCGCCAGGTTCTGGGATTCAATACCCAAAAGGGCTCCACTAATGGTCTGAAGTCTCGAAAATTTTCATTGATTATTGATGAGACAACAGATCGTTCACATAAGAATCAGCTGGCAGTATTGGTGACCTACTTCAATCCAGATACATTTAAAATGGACTGTGACTTAATTGACATTGTCCAGTTAGATGATGGAAAAGCTGACACAATTTTCAAAGCTATAGTGGAATGCTTTGAGCAGAAAGGTATTCCAATGGGGAATATAATCAGGTTTTGTGCGCAGACACCTGCAATGTAATGTTCTGTATACATCACTCTGTTGCACAAATGCTGGTAGCCAACTATCCATGGATAATACCTATCAAGTGTTCCTGTCACCTTTGTGCTTGCCATGTGCATCCCTACAGCTTCCAAAGTCTTTAGAAGATTTGTGTTGAAATATAGCTTCATGTTTTCACTTATCTCCACTACGAACAAAGAATTTTCAGGAATTTCAAGAGTTCTTTGATATTGAAAAACATCAGCTTCTGAATGCTGGACAAACCAGGTGGTTGTCAATGAAGATGTGCGTTGACAGGATTATCGAACAATATGAAGCCTTGAAGCTATATGTCACAGGAGCAGCACTTGAAGATCCTACACATACCAATGATAACATTCTCAAGAGTCTCGACAACAAATTTACCCTGGCATATCTTCAGTTTATGGCCTTAACCTTGGAAGATTTGTTTCTTTTAATACCTTGTTCCAAACACGGCTTGCAATTATTATTAAAACGCGGGCCAATAAAATGTTACTAGTTCCCAGTTTCTAATTTGCTTAATAACTGTCTTGGCCGTGGAATCACAATTATCACAAGCCAGTTAGTTGTTGTTATTATTCATGCATTTTTGGGGGGACTGAGACCGAATGTGCCGATTTGCCGCTCTCATATTTGGAAAGCAGTGGTCGTAAGCTTTCGTTTGGTATATTATTTGCTGTGTTTTGCTTGTCAAATCTACAAAATTTAATGGAAATTTGAAGCGTTTTCAAGATGCGTACATCGGCGAAATACCTATCCCAGTGCCATTGAAAAGATAAGGTAAAATATAAGTTTTTATTTTCGTTATTCATTCAAACAAAACCATAGAATCACTAAACAGTATTTATATTTTGTATCTGAACTCATTTCATAGCTTTTGAAGGTGTTATTCATGACGAAATTTTGTAACGAAAATTGTCATTATTTGCATAGAGTTAAAGTTAGACATTACTGTTATTTAGTTACTATCGTCTTGGCCTCGAAGCAGCGATACTCTTGAAGAGGAAGCGCCTATAAACACATCTCACAGATCACAGAAGCTGAGTGGTTTTGGTACTTTAGAGATCTGGCAGTTCAATGGTCTACTCTGTGAGCAAAAATATTTCACATCCAAGTCGAAGTAACCGATTGCGCTCTGATGAGTCTAACCATGGCATCAAGGTGAAAGAAGGTCCATACTCTATTGCCATATGATTGGAGTTTAAGAAACATAGATAACTTGTGGTTCTCTTTGGACTTTGATAAATTTGTGAACTATTTTCATGGGCTCAAAGCAGAGACGCTCCCTAAGACGGACGGCTAGCACATCCCAAAAGAATCGTTTTCCTGTAGGAGAACTAGCAGCTCAAAGGTCTACTTTGTGAAGGCAATATTTGTCCAAGTCGAAGGAACTGACTGCACTAAAAAGAAAGTTAAGCCGGCTTGAGAAAAAGGTTGGTAAAAATGATAAATAGCTGTTACTGGACTGTTGATATAACTTACTTATATTCTTTCATTGTTCTCAATTAATTGATCATTCCTTATTGGTCGCACAAATATAGTTTTTTTGATTCTTTGTAGTTCAATACATAAATACTAAACCATAACCCTTAAAGATCTGGTACACTCCGATCTCCTTACCCATTAAGTTTCAAGCTCCCCCCCCACCCCCTTAACAAGTAAAATCGTCTGGCGTTAGAGGCTCATTTGGTCGCCTTGGCCAAGGGCGAAACTACATGTATTGGGGTGTATTCAGAGTAAAATTGTATTTTAAGGGAGAAATTTTGACATTGTCACATTGGTCAAATTTAGTAAAATTTCTCCCACTGGTGCGTGTTCGTATTGTCAGCGGACATCATTCGGAAAGTGGACAGATCTGTGCAAAATGCAAAGTTTCAATTTTTCACAAGTCCGCTGAAAATGCGAGCCTGCGGCACTGGGATAAAATTTGCTGAATATGACCAGTGTGTGTATCTTGTGGAAAAAACCCTATACTTTTTTCTTTTACTTAACACTGTCATCCAATGCCACACGATTTTACTCGCCTTGCTCCTTAATCATTATCTAGCCGTAATGGGTAAACAAATCTGCCAATTTGTGTCCCTTGTCAACTCATTATATAGTGCAAAGCACCCTGGTTCATCAGCCCACAAAACTCTATTATTTTATTCTGTCTAACACCAGACAATTTTAATATCCAAAAGACGACCTTAAGATTAAAAAATAAGACGAATTACACAATGTAATTTAACACATTGACTGACAATACCCTATCTTATTTGTTTACTTAGCTGTTTAACACCAGACGATCTTACTCGTCAAAGGAAGAGGCTGGCCACTTAATGGGTTACTAATTTTTAAGAATGTATATATGAATTGATATGTTCATTTTGTAATCTTTGATAGATTTCAGAGACTCAAGACTCTGTAGCCTGTAAAGAAAAAAAAACTGTCAAAGAGAGCAGCTGTGTTTGAAGTGAAACGGAATACAGCAACGACAAGAAAGGAGAACCCCACAGCAATATCCAAGCAAGGTAATATCGATCTACCAAGAAGAAATGCATACAGGAGACAAATAGAAACTCTTGATGCTTCGGCAGCAATTAACGGTGGCTCTATTGTAAATAAAATACCTGCTTTAGATGGAATATTTTCTACTATTATTAAATATCCTAATGTGCATGACATAGCTAAGTACTGTAGTCAGCGAAAGTTTAAGAACTGTTTTGTAAGTGAAGCTAAGAAAGAGGTAGGTATATATGAGAAAAGTGAAGATAACTTTGTTTGGTCACATTCTTTATTATATGCAGGGGGAGTCATTGGGAAGATTAATTACATACAGGCTAAATCTGCTTTGGTGACGAAAAATTCAGGTAAGTGCACGAGGAAAGGCTATTTATCAAAAGAGCGGATAAAAATTGGTTGTGGGATACCCATTCCAAAACCGTTTTCCTATGACATACTAATTAACCATATTGAAAAACAAGATATTAGAGAAATTATTAGCTTGGATACACTTTGTGTGGGCTTACCTTTTGAGCATCATGTTGATGGTGTTTATAGAGATTTGGAGAATTTCTTCTTTTATTGTGCCATTTCTATTTCAAAACTGATCCTTTTCGAAAAGAAGGTGAAAAACTTGTATGGTTTGGTGAGAATGAGGGATCATTCAAAGTAGCAATTGGTGGTGATGGTGCACCATTTGCGAATTGGGAGGAATCCATGGCATGGCTTCTGAGCTTTCTTAATGTCAGTCCCAGGGTGGCAAGCCCTAATGACAATTTTCTGTTGTTTGGGGCTAATTGCAAGGAAGACCACAAGGTTGTGAAATCGTTTACAAGCAAATTAGTGAAAGATATAGCAGTAATTAAACAGAAGAGCTACACTGTACTTGAAAAGCAAGTCAAGTTTACTTTTGAGTTAGTCCCTCGGACATGAAATTTACAGCTTTTCTCAATGGCGAGCTCAATAATGCTGCCAAATATTTGTCAAGTTTTGCCAATGTTTGCCATGCTGATTGCACTGTGTTAGATGGGAAATTTGGTACATCCCCAGACTGCACATGGAAACCCTGGGTGTATGAGGACAGGGTTGCTGTTGCTAAACAAGTTACTAAGTTCAAGTCTAAGTTGCCTAATGTAACAAAGCAGAGCCAGAGGAGTAAAATCACACAGTTCATAGCAGGGAAACATTCAAGGCAGGAATTTCTTCCTATTATTGGAAAACTGTGTGATAAAACTTATCTTGAACCTCTGCATTTGAAGAATAATGCAGTTAAGCATTTACATGCTTTGTTTTTAAGGTTAGCTATTTCTATCAGTAACCTTCCTGCCAAACTTAACAATGTCTCGGAATTTCCTGAAAATTGTGCTATGTCAAGATATATGAAAGCAATGCACGGTCAGGTAAATGCTACACAGCTGAATAAGCGGCTGGAAAGATGGTTACTTGACGGCCGTGCAAGAGACAAAGATTTCTCTTACTGCTTGACAGGAAAAGATTCGAAATTGGTCTTACACGGGTTCATGTTCTTGATAAGTGCCATTAAGGGTGATTCAGAAGACCTGCGTTTACTGTGTAAGCTTATGTTTCTAGCTTTTCTTGCAACTAAGCTTAGAGACTGTGTTGCATACTTCTCTATGTATCATTTAACTGAGGAAAACCTTCTAAAGCTACCTTCTTTAGCTAAGGATTACTTTACTGCTGTTGCACTGTTCAGTGGCCATACAGGTGTATCACCAACTGTGTGGAGTATTGGGTATCTAGTTCCTGTTCACACTAAGTGGTTATTTGACAAATTTGGCACAGGGTTAGGCATAAATGCTATGCAAGGCCGAGAGGCTAAACATGTTCAAATTGCTAGTTATACCAAAAATAGTCTTTTTAAACAGTGTTGGTATCAGGTATTTAGGCATGATTACATAAGTAAAGTATGGTTACTGCTTCGCCAGCCTTCCCTGCTAGCATATCATCAAGCACGAGGTACCCTCATACCTCCCCGTGTACTTCGTGACCCTGAGCATTATTGTTATTGTGGTTTTACCAAGGATGCAGGTAAGGATGCCTGTTTTTACTGTGACCATAGCTTAATGACTGAAATTAGGTCTGTCGCTCAACAAAAACCCACTAAAGTATGCTTAAAGTATATGTCTTAAAGAACTACAAGTATACGTTACAGTTAATATGCAAGTTGACATTTAGCCAGCCACAGGTAGGTATTTTCCAAATACACAATCCCAAAATTATGTCACAGTGGGCTTAGACTAAGATTAGGAATAGGTACACAACTTTTTTTTCCAGTTAGGATTAGGTTCAGTGTTAGCATTCTGGTAAAGATTAGGATTGGTTTAAAAGTAAGAATTTGCAAAATTGATTTTGGGATATGTACATTTGGAAATTGACTCTCAAGTTTCCTTCATAATTTTATTTATACTGATCTGTACGTCCAGATCAAACGAGGACAAGAGTTCATGAGAATTGCCAGTGTTGCCATCTTCGATAGCTGTTGCTTTGATAACTTTTACACAAACTTTATTAAAGCTAAAACATGTTCATCAAGCTTTCATTCTTCTAAGTACGTTGCAGCTTGAAATGCTCTCTTTCACAATTCATGTAAGGCAAATCTCATCAACTCTCATCAACATTTGGTCGGGGCTTAATTATTTATTTCAAGTTTTAACTGCCACCTTGCATGTGAGAAACTGTCTGCAACAAACTAGTTTGTTCATATTGTACAACTTAATTTGAATGGTATGCATTTAATATACAATACTTAAAGTTAATAAGTATTTTTTTAACCTGTAAATATTGAAGTTAAAGTATTTATTAATGTTATTATTTATTTATTAATTAAGTTATAATTTATTACTAAGTTTTGAACTATTAATAAAAATTAATGTTCATTTTACTATGAGTGTTGAATTACTGATCTTGCATGCAGACAATTTTACTTGTCAAAGTGAGAGTCTTGCATTTTAATCATTTAACGATAAACCTTGGAAGATAGTTTGTTTAACTCGTTTTGCATTAGGTCTCACCTTGACAGGTAAAATCATCTGGCATACAACAAAGAGAAATACTAAAGCAGGGTCAATAAAGTTCCATCCCCGGTTTAATTGATACAAAGAGTAAAACTAGTGAAAGTAAGGTTGGTTGTCTGTTTCTCTAAGTGAAAACTTATTTTGGGGACCAGGCAATTGATGTCTGTGCCAACCTTGATTCTCCTTTATGAGGCATGATCATGTTTACCAAGAGCTGCACAACAATATTTTCTGTCGTTGTCATATTTTTTGCCTTGTCAAATAGTTTGGAGAAAGGAATTGGGCTCAAAATATTTGTGCAGCTGCAAGTGGTAAAAATTGACTCTGCCTTACAAGGGACCTTGAACTAGTCCCTGATAGTCAAACACAATTTGGCGCTCGCTAGTATTTGAATATCATTCATGTCAATCCCTTGTACAATAGTAACGTCAATAAAGTTGACTAGTAATATACAATTACGGTTCTGTGATAATCCTGATATTTTGCTGAAATTGCTTGCATTCCATGAATGGACAACATTACATACCTATGCCTGATTTATTTTGTTTAATTCCAATTTAATGCTGACTTACCTTATTATAGGAAATTAACGATGCACTTTATTAACACGGATTTTAAAAATTTGCGTTAATTTAATTAATGTTAATTTATGTCATCGTTAATTACCTCCGCCAGGAGGTTATGTAATCATCTGGGTTTGTATGTGTGTGTGTGTATATGTGTGTGTGTGTATGTGTGTGTGTTTGTCTGTGAGCACGATAACTCAAGAAATACCAAACATATTCATACGAAATTTTTTGAATGCATTTCCCATCGGCTAAGGAAGAACTGATTAAAATTTGGTTGAATTTGGTTAAAAATTGAACGAGAAATGAACAAAATTTTGTCTTGCTTTTCCCGGTCAATTATAAAAAACTCACTGAATGCGTAATTAGGACGTGTATAATGTAGTACTAAGAAGACAATGAGATGATAAACCTCATTAAGCTTCAGCCCTAATTGTCTATTGTCTTAGTTGCATTTCACATGACCGAAATTTAATGTGGGCGGAGGTATGCAGTCTCTGAGTGCCCTCTAGTTTTAAGTATGTAATTTTTATTTATCGTTGGTTAAAAAGACCTTGATTTGTTTTATATAACACTAACTCTTCTAATGTCAAAATACAGCATATTGACGTAAACTAAAAACGTCAGTGCTCCTCTCAACTCAGTTCACTGTCTGATTCGCGTTAATTTAATTAATTTGTCAGTCATGGAGATCAGATTTGCGTTAATATAATCAAGTTTTAAAAGACCTAGAAGCAATCCGCGTTAATTTGATGTCGTGTTAATTTATGTCGCGTTAATAAAGTGCATCGTTAATTTCCTATAATAAGGTATTCCATACTTATTCCAATAGCCATAATGAAGTTTGACTTTCAAAATTTCCTCCTTTATCTTGTATTCAAAACTTCCTTTTCTCTCACCATCAACTACAACATTAACACAACCTTTATCTCCCTTCAGCTCTTTTTCAAATCCTTCACAGTTCACAAATTTATCAAAGAGAACCACAAGGCGTCTAAGTTTCACAAACCATTTGGTAACAGAGCGTGGACCTTCTTTCACCTCGATGCCATAGCAAGACTCACCCAGGATATTTTGGTATAGAAGATCGAACACTTCTCGTGGCATGCCAACATCAAAACATACTAACCAAGGATGTAACTTGCTCATTCGTGGATTGAGACGCCTGTAAATGGCACGATTTACGCGATCCATAATTCTTTCCAACATGGGATAGATTTTAGCCGGCTCATTTTCGTGGCGATACTGAAGTTTGCCATATTTTGCCTTAACAACCATGTGCAACAACTCGATCCAGCTCTTTAAATGTTGCTGACAAATCTATTGATCTATGGGAATTCGATGTTTCACACATTAATTTTGACTTTTCATGCTCTAGTGCACGTTTAATCCTGCCGATTACCTCGTCCTCGTTAGGATCAGAAGAGCGAGCCGCCATTTTGATTTTGCTTGCTTGTGACACAAAAATCGGCCTACATGAAGTAGCAAACAGCACAAAAATAAAAGTTGGCCCAATTCAGGACAATAGTTGCCAGCCGTGAAAGTGGAATTCCTGTCCTCTACTTGCTGAAAAGTGAATTAAAAACTCTGCTGACTTCATTATTATCAGATTTCATGAAGGTACATATTAATAATGATGTTTCAATTACATAAAAAAAATATATTATTGAATAGGGAGTGCAAGTCACCAGTCAATTTTTATCACTTTAACTGTTAAATTTTTTATCATATAGGTATCATTTATACGACAAGCTGATCCATGGCTTATTGATATTAATGACCAAGAGCATTATGTCCCACTGAACCACGTTTATGTGGGACCTTGTGCAACAGACACCATGCAGACCATTAAAGATGATCTTGGTGTGGATCATCCTGGTATCCAGCTATTTTTTACTCATTGTAGAAACTTTCAGATTGAAGCTGTGAAGCAAATTTTATCACGATTCAATGATTGTGATAAGCCTGACTTTTTATCATTCCTCACACCTGTTTCTGCTTATGCACTGTCTCCAGTATCTTTGTTGCAAGTCTATAGACAATTGCCACAGCTTAAGGATGTTGCAGACTTGCAAGAAGCTGATAATGAGTGGCAGCAACATGCACTTTGCCCCAACTTGAATGGAGAAATGAGTTTTCTGGAATATTGGACAGTTGCTTTTAAGGAGAAAAATCAAGTTGGAGAAAAGATTATCCCAATTTAACGAAACGTTATCCTTGCCACTTTCAAATGCTGCTGTTGAGCATGTTTTCAGCCAATTAAAACTTATCAAGAGTGATCATAGGGCATCACTTAAGCAAGTAAGTTTATTGGCATTACTTTCCACCAAGTATTCCTTCCTGAAGAAAGGAAAACGACAGGCTGTTATGATGGATCCTTCAAGTAAAATGCTTGACCTACATAACCGAATTAAATCCAGTGCAAAAGATGAAGATGCAGGGAAACTAAGAGCTGAGTTTTTGAAGGAACTGAAAAATGTTAAAACTTAACTAGTAAAACAATTATATGATGTGCCTTAACACCTTATATAGTTTAAAGCATCATTAAAATTTAAAACAATAAAACTTACCTATTTTGTTCTTGTTGTTTAAAAAATACTATAATTTAACAACTTTATTGGAACCACAATATAAACAGATAAAAACAAATGGCCCAAAAGGAAAAATGCGAATGGGACGATAACTACGACCCAGGCAAGGCTTCTCCCTCACAACAATATAGAAAATATGGACACACTATATATCACAATACAATAAACAACACACAAAAAAGCAGAACAATCAAACAGAAGCGAGTTATAAATAGTAGAATGATATAACTCGGAAACAATATCATCGCAGAACATCATCACTAGCCTTTGTTTGATTAACGATTACTTGATTGCCTATGGCAAGAACAGTCAGGCACAAAAGTCCATGTGCAAGGCATCGACAAGTCAAAAGTACTATTCAGTTCCAATTTAAACAAGTCCTTAATTAACTTTTTAAAGAGCAATAAACTAGAGAAGTTTCTCGGAGGAGCAACGAGAATGGTCTTGTTCCAAAGCTTAACAATGCGGTTGAAATAGGATGACTGAAAGGTGCTGGTTCGACAGTATGGTGTTTTCAGTGTTCTCAAATGACTTGACCTGGTTCGACCATTATTGACAAAGGAAACAAAGTTGGAAATGTCTATGTCAATGTATCCATGTGAGGCCTTGTAAAAGAATGTCAAGTCTTTCAACTCGCTGTCATAGCAAAGTGGTAGAAGATCTAATGTCACTAGCCGATCCTTGTACTCCTGCTGTCCCATTCGTTGCTGTAGTATCCATCTTGTTGCTCTTCTTTGGACGTTTTCAACTTTACGTTTGAGCGAAATATGTGCTGGTGACCAGACTTCGGCCACAACGAAAAGAGGATCCATTTGAACTCTAGCTAAATACATTTGTGTGTTTTGAGTTATATTTGTGTGTTTGAAATATATTTGTGTGTTGCACTTGTGGGCCACCGTAGTTTTATACCATTTATGAACCTATAATATATGGGAATGCTAATACGATTATTGTCATTGTATTAGGCAAATGAGAACCATACAATAAATGTTTTAGTTTTATTACATAATTTTGAAACCATTTTTGAGGCCACCTAATCGTTTTTTGATTAAGTTTTGATAAAAAATACTCGTTATAAATACGTTAATTGTTAATAGTTCTATTCAACAAACCAAAAAGAACGAACACGGAAAATTTCTTGCCCAAATTTAAAGATGCGCGAATATGAACAAGGTGTGCGAAATCAAATCGCACATGAGTACGACGCGATTATTGTTTTAATGGCACCTTCAAGGCTACCCCTATTGCAGAACAACTGAACAATGTGCTGATGAGGAGACAAAATCTATGTTGACATTTTTGTCAACTTTAGATGACCATTCATTTGTAATGATTAAGATTGTAGAAAGAAATTCTGAGCAGGTGAATATATGAATGTGCTAGCCGGCATTATTTTACATACAATGCTAACCAATGGACATACCTCAGATACTAAAAGTACATTTTGACTCCTTGTATAAATATAAAGACGATCAGTGGGCTATTAGAACTGCAAATTCATGAAGTCATATTGATTTCAATACCTCTATATCGAACACTAAACAGCAAATCTAAATATAAATGCCTTGATGTATATCACCAGAAAGAAATAAAGCTATCCTCCATGAATTATTCAAAATATTGTCGATCCTTTGCACCGTATTAAATCCTGAGAAGAATCATGCGAGCGCAATACAAAATAAATAAAATCGAATCAAAATCGAATAAAAACAAAGAGTCCGCGAATGCTCGAGCTGACAACAATGTCCGAAAAATCTTGACATCCGACGGACTGACATGGATTGAGTATGTTTCCCCAATATAACTCGGCCGGGGACTGGGCACGAAAAAGCAAGAACGTCATTTAACGTCAAGAATAGGGAGCTGCCTCGCTACGCTTGGCAGCAAAAAGAGCAGAAACAGGCTTGGTCCAATTTCTTCATAGCACTCTTTCAATAAACGAGGATGGATTTCGTCTGGTCCATGCGATTTATTCCCATCTAAATTACGCAAATAGCTTTTGACTTCTATCTCACTTACAGTGATTTTGGATAATTCTGAGTCGCTTGGGAACCGAACCGCACATTTGTGTCTGAGTGAGCTCTTGAGTTTTGAAAGACAGATGAGAAATATGAATTAAAGATCTCTACCTTTCTACGCAGTGTTTTGCCAGTCACTCCATTGTATGTTATAGAAGGATTTAGATCTCTTCGTTTGTGCGTCATTGCTTTGTGATAGCTCCAAAACACTTTGGGATTGTCATAGAAGGATGTTTCAATGTTTTTCAGATACTCACAATGCTTTTGCTTGATCAAATTCTTCACTTTTTGATTGACAGAGCGTAGGTTTTGTTTCCGCGATTCACATTTATTTAAGTGATATTTCTTTAACGCCGTGTATTTCTTACGAATAAGGTGTTTTACTTTCCTATCAATCCACGGTGGACAGTTCTTATCCACTATTGTCTTAGAGGGGACGAACTGAAATTGATTTTTCCATTGGACCCAACAATCATCGATGTTTCCCGAGAGTGTTACTTCAATCGGAGATCTCTGAAGGAAGGTTCGGAGTTGTTTGGAAATCGTAAACACCACGATGGATGTGATACGCTCGTTTGAATGTTTGCTTCACGAAGAACTCAATTGGAATGTGATCACTTGGAAATTGTTCATCAGATAAAGCTCTAACATCCCGGATTATCTCGGAATGGTTACTCAACAACAAATCCAATTTATTTCCCCAACTGTGTGTAGATCCCATGATGTGCTGTTGAAGGAAATTATCGTAGAACAATTCACAAAAAATTTCACCAGTTTGTCCTGTGCAGCTAATAGGGGTTGACTGATCTTCGGACCATCTCAATTCTGGAAGATTAAAATCGCCCACAACTACGACACAGTCTTCTTCTATATTGCTTTGAAGAGAGTCATTTAGTTCATTCAAAGAATTTGGTGTTGAGTTAGGTGAACGATAGAAAGTGTATAAAGTTACTGGTTTGCTGTTCAGATTCTTTATTTGTACAACAACGAGTTCGCAGTCCGATCTTTCGAGATCTGGGTGATGAAATGCTTCAAGTTCTGATTTGGTAGCAACACTCATTATTAATAAGGAATTATAATACAATAATTGTAGAAAATTCTATGGAAATTTTGGCACACTGTCTATGGAAATTTCATGTCAAATAAACAGCTGGGAAATTTGTTGTCGCTGTGCAGAGAAATTGCTGGCGCACGCGATATTTTACAAAAATTCGAAAATTTGAAAAAAGAACACGAGTGGAATTTCAACTTATGATTTTGCATTTTTAAGACGGCGATCAAGGAAATTAAATTGTAGGAAAAACTTCACTAACATCTCAAGTATGGAAAGCATCTACATTATCAGCATTTTAATTGTGGATTGATTCAAAATTGAGGCGATAAAGTTACATAGCTAGAAGTTGGCTTTTGTGCTCTTCGAATGTCCATTTTCATTCGCGGATTACCACACCTTGTTGGTCTCGTGGGTGCCAAAATCGACGTCAACGTAAACTGGTAACCAAGAGCTATAAAACAAATAGCTTTCCAAAAAGATAACTGACTTTATTCAGTCAAAAGGATGAGGGTAAATAAACATGCTACTGCGTGATGGTGATTTCGAAGCAACTTTGTTACGTATATTTTAAAAAGTGGGATAATGAATCAAATTTTGCTTTTTGCAATCCCAAAAAAGTATGAAAATTATTTAAATATTTAAGATTTTCGTGTTTATAATGTATTTTATGAGAAAAGCAAAAATTTTCCCGAGAAAAAAGCATATTTTCCGCAGAAAACTGGTTTTTGAGATAGAAGATCCTGGGAGACGGGGGTGTAGAAGCAAAAAACCTTGACGATTCCTCCAAAAAATTAATACCAAATTTTATTTATTTTTTGAATTTGTCACCATACAAAAAAAAATTACATTGACAAAGATAACTATGTGACAGGAGAATGGAACAGGACTTTCGTCCCACTGGAAACCTAATCCCTTACAATATACACAATATACAATTTGTCTTTACTCAAGAATATATACATTATACTTTTGTATACATTTATATACATATACACATATTTGGAAACGACTAACATGACAAAAAGAAGTTCAGGAATGACTATAATTAGCCGGAACAACCAGGAGGACTGCATGTTGATAACTTTGTAATGTACAAGTTAATTAGGGTAGACTTGAATGCAGGTAGCGAGTGGTAGAATTTAAGGTATGAGGGCAGACAGTTCCATAGTTCGGCTGATTTAATAAAAAACGATTTTCTGTAATAATCTTGTTTATGTTTAATGATTAGATTGTAATTGTTAATATCATAATTCCGAGATCTATATTTTGACTCGGAAATCATTGACATCAGTGAAAATTAGTCCTGCTCTGGATTTAAAAAGAAGCATCAAATCGGCAATTTCTCTGCGAAATTCAAGGGGAAGAAGATTGGTTCTGGTAAGTCTCTGTGTATATGACATATCCGGAGGATAGTTCAGTATAAATTTAGTTGGCCGCCGCTGGACGTTTTCACTTAGGGAACGATACTTAACTGTATACGGTGACCACAAACTACTGGCGTACTCAAGTTTTGGCCGCACAAGAGCACAGTACAACAATTTTCTGACTTTCAGATCAGGGAGTTCTTTACAAACCCTTTTAACCAGACCGAGCGTTTTATTAGTCTTGGCCACAATACTTTCAATATGCCTTGACCACGATAAATCATTTGACACAGTGACACCAAGATCCATAATGAAAGGAACACAATCCAACGACTGATTATCCATGATGCGCGCTGCTTCTCTTATCAATGTCTTCTTCCTGAAGATGTTCATTACCTTGCATTTAGACTTATTAAATGCCATTTCCCAGTCCAAACTCCACCTTTGCAAGAGGTCGAGGTCACTCTGAAGATTGTAACTGGAGGTTGAATCGAGAATGGGTTTGAACAGCTTGGAATCGTCAGCAAACAAAGCAATCGTTGAGTTATACTGAAAGTAGTTAGGGACATCATTGACGTATAAAACAAACAACAATGGACCGTGTATAGAACCTTGTGGTACGCCAGACGTGACAGGAAGCCAGTCAGAGAATGATCCGTCTAGAGCAACTCTTTGGTACCTATCTGTGAGGTAACTACCAAACCAAGAAAGAAGAGATCCGTTGATACCATGATGCTTTAGTTTGAGTAATAACAAGTTGTGAGGGACTTTATCAAAGGCTTTTGATAAGTCAAGATAGATTACATCAACTTCGTTACCGGATGCTACGGAGTCCAGGATGTCATGGTATACTTCTAATAGTTGTGTTATCGTTAATTTACCCTTGAGAAATCCATGTTGAAATTGATAGAAAGAAGGACAAAGGTGATGATAACTGTGATTAAAAACGCAACGTTCCAATACTTTGGAGATAACACAAAGCAAAGAGATTGGTCTGTAGTTCGATGTTATGGTGGGATCATCTTTTTTAAAAACAGGGGTAATATTAGCAAACTTCCACTTAGCAGGTACCACTCCAATAGAGAGAGACATATTGAAAAGAATACAAAGTGAAGGAGCAATCTCATCGGCGACCTTGGATAGAATTCTGCTTAGAATACCATCTGGTCCACACGCTTTATTGGGGTCTAAGTTACGAAGCACCGCAGCAACTTCGTAGATTGTAAGATCAATATCAGAGAGTTTGTTACAAGAAGATTCCATTGAAGTAGAGAGCGTTGAATGTGGATCTACGTTTCCAGGGCTAAAAACGGAGTGGAATAAGTTTGCTTTGATTCGGCTGTCGGTCGTAAAGGATTGCCCATTTCGAATAAAATTTGGGCTTTGATTTGTTAGTGCATGGTCGAAAATTTCAGAAGTGACCAAAAACGTTTGGTATTTTCAAACATTGAATCTTTTAGTTTATTGGCGTGATCACATTTTTTCTTGGAGATAAGCTTTTTTGTTTCGCGTCGAATTAACCTAAATTTCTCGAAGTCATCAGGGTGTTTTGTCCTTAGCAGCTTTTTTCTTTGTTTGTTTTTCTTTTTAATGAGCTCCAGCAACTCTTTACCGATCCAAGGGTGATCGTAGACGTTTCTTGAGGAACAGTTCGGGATGTGATCATGAACGATTGAGAGAAACAGGTCACACCATTTTTAAAGGGAAGCATCAATGTCCTCTGGAACAAACAAGCATCAAAGGGGGTATGTAATAGCACGTCCTTGAGACCAGTCCAATTAGCTTTTTTGAAGTTGAAAACCTCACGCTTGACTTTAGGCTTTTTGTTGATTTTAAGGTCGAGTTCGAAACTAATAAGTTTATGATCAGTATTCAGGATGTCTTCAAAACCTTGAACATTTATGACTTTATCTGGTATATTGGTAAAAACTAAATCCAGGATTTTATCGGATCTAGTTGGAAAGTCAATGAGCTGATATAAGTAGTTGTCTTTAATAGTTTTAGTGAAATAGTTGTGAATACAGTCGTTGTTAGTAGTTGAACCAGTAGACCAATCAATATGTGGAAGGTTGAAGTCTCCGCAAACGACTAAGTGGTCAAACTTTGCTTTGATGGCAAGGTGAAGTGATTTCTTAAGTTCTTTTATGTGGTTTATGTCAGTGTTAGGCGGTCGGTAGAATGCAAGAAACAAAAACTTTTTCTTGGATTCAAGACGGATTTCACACCAGTCTTACCCAGGCTTCTTAAGGTCTGGAGATCTCGCAGCTACTTTAGGACAAAGAAAAACCAAGTGAAATTGTGATGGGTGGGAATAAGGATGGGTGAAAGCCCTGGAGGTAATGTCCGATAGGCTGATCATAAGCAAGCGGTGGAATAAGACAAGGCATGAAGAACGTCCAGCTGCAACTTCCACATACGTTCTCTGATCGAACTGACTTATGTACAACCTTGCAAGCCAGGGTCTTCTACCTGCGCTCGGGCTACGGCGAAGACCCTGGTTCCCTCTGGTCACGTGAACCCCCAGATTTTAGGAGTAATTCGAATTGCCGCCTCTTTGTCACTTAGGGAGGAGTGGTAGGGGGAATTCAAGAGCGAAAACGAAAATATCTATAACTATGCCTATGGAAAACATATCAACGATTGATCGATCGTATAGTATAAGATAGAAAGAGAGTTTTTGCAAATTACAATATCAGATTTCAAATATAGTAAACCGTTTGCTATCACGACATTGATTTGCTGGCTGTTTTGCTGTGTACGATCGAAAAAGTTTTGCTGTTGGTAAATTGCAATATCAGATTTCAAATATTGTAAACAGTCGGTATCGCGGCGTTGATTGGCTGGCTGTTGCCAGAAATAGGTGTTTGTTATTTGAATCCTCCCTGACAATCCAAACGGTAAAGAAGGCTAGGTGGCCAAGCAGGCGCCGTAGTAATTATCGGTCTTTCTAAGTTCAATTGAATTTTAGTCTCGAAACATTTCGCTAAAAATCTGTTGCAAAAATTATAGGATATGTTATCATTGCCTTGTATGTTCGAAGATGGGTGTTTATTCTATACGCTGGCGAATTTTTATTGAGAACAAAGCAATTTGAAGGAGGATATTTTTCGAGTTGAAGTGTTCGTGTCGCCGGTTTGAGAACTGGAATCGTTAGTCTTTGCTTTCATTACTGTCACTTATGTTGACAGTCGCAGGCACACAGAGTGTAGAGTCGCCCAGAAACAAAAGACGATCACATACAATGAAAGTAGACAAGTAAATATGATTTTAAAATATAAAATTCATTACAAATTTTACTGAGTAGTATATTCTATAATGATGTATTTACTATACACTAATACACGTCTGGGCCGCCTGTGGTAGAACAGGCTACCAAGACGGTACACGAACATTTTGCCGAAAGACACTTTGCCGAAAGACACTTTGCCGAAAGACACTTTGCCGAAAGACACTTTGCCGAAAGACACTTTGCCGAAAGACACTTTGCCGAAATTAAAGACATTTTGCCGAACGGTAAGCTGTAAAACATGGAATCTGGAATCTTGGAATCCTGGAATCTTGGAATCCTGGAATCTTATCATATAACCGCAAAATATGTTATTATCAATATATTATTATTATACTTATGCAACATATTGTTCTGCATGCGATAATTTAATACTTGGTGAGTTAGCAGAAGCAGACCTCACCTTATATATATAATATGTCCATCTTGATGCCAATACATAATAATGTAAACGCTGTGCGCGCATCTAAATAATATCGTCGGTTTATGATGAGAGCTAAAATCAAGTGCGTAGCAAGATGACCAGGTGGGAGGCAACTAAAGAAACCATATACAGTATATATATATATATATCATTGCAATCAGGAAAACCTCAATTAGATGCACTATAACACCTCGTATTCCGTCAAAAAATACCACACTTGCGAACAGTTGCCGAGTTCATATAGTCTATATTCAACGAATTATGGTTATATAGCACGTGGTTAATGAGCTCATACTACAGTATGTGAGTTACATAGCACGTGCTATATAACCATAATTCGTTGAATAAAGATTATATGAACTCGGCAATTGTTCGCAAGTGTGGTATGTTTTGACGGAATACGAGGTGTTATATATAGTGCATCTAATTGAGGTTTTCCTGATTGCAATGATGTATATACTGTATATGGTTTCTTCAGTTGCCTCCCGCCTGGTCATCTTGCTACGCACTTGATTTTAGCTCTCATCATAAACCGACGATATTATTTAGATGCGCGCACAGCGTTTATATTATTATGTATTGGTATCAAGACAGAGATATTAATTAAATTCTACAACAAATAGTACTGATAATATATTACCAAGGTCTGCTTCTGTAGCTAAGTATTAAATTATCGCATGCAGAACAATATGTTGCATAAATATAATAATAATATCTTGATAATAAGGATTCCACGATTCCAGAATTCCATGATTCCAGGATTCCAAGATTCCAAGATTCCAAATTCCATGTTTTACAGCTTACCTTTGCCGAACGGACATTTTGCCGACGGTCATTTTGCCGAACGGACATTTTGCCAAACAGACATTTTGCCGAACGGACATTTTGCCAAACGGACAGTCTGCCGAAAGGACAACTTGCCGAAAATAAAGATGTTATTTCGTCAAAATGTTTGGGACTGTGACTCATTTCTCAACTGTGTAAATCTCAACCATTGTGTAAAATAACCATTATATGGTCATTAGCAGTGCATTATGGGTCATTAGCAGTGCATAATGGTTGTTAGCAGTGCATATAACATATTGACTATTGGTAGCTTGTTTGTACAGCGGATGACTCATTTGTTAGGAACATGTTTTGACGTCAGATCGTAAACAAGCAAGCGTCTTATATTCAATTTAGAATTTGTTCTGGCACAGCTGTATGGGTTTTTGTACTGTCCATGAAGTAAATTGAGTTTATATGCAAATGATGACATATATATGAGAGAGTGTGAACATAGTTCAACTTCTGCCCACTTTAAGAAAACTGAGTTCAGCACAATTCACATTTGTGATTGAGTGTATATTCATTTTGTACAAAGTCAAGAATATTTTACAGACGCAAAAATATTTGTCTAATCAGGCAAAAACATTCCCTTTCCATATCTTAAACTGCACTCAACACATAAACATTGTGTTTTGCATACACTGCAGCATAAATTGGTCCGCAAATGTCCTCCAAGGCAACAATATCTTGCCTATATCTCAATGCCTTTTCGTAAAAGATACTCTTTCGGTCAGAATTTCTAACCAACTCAAAGCAAATAATATGCAAGCCAAGGGATTCTTTTATGTGCCTTCGGTCAAGTTTATATGCTGTAGCAGTCATAGCAATAACGACAGGAAATACAGCACTCAATTATATACTACGTTTGGCATAAAGTGAACAAAATTGAGATAACAATATAATAGATGATTGAGAAATAACATGTAGAATTAGTTTTCTCTTTTGGTCAAGTTCATTAACACATTAACATTGATTTTTTAAAGTGTGGAAACCATCCCAACACAGAAGATAATTTAGATATGTTATTTATCGCTTTCCTGCATATATTAAACCACCATTGGCAAACTGTTTGTCAGGTTGAGCTCGGTTTTCTGTGCTGCCGAATACTACAAGACCAGTCAAAGTCTTTATGGTCTTTATGGCATAATTATGACTTATGTTCCCGGTTGTTGGCACATAGCCGCTTTATTGTTTTAAACAATTTTTAATAATTAACAAGAGAAATTATTAATCCCCGAGCCGACGGCGCGGAGCGCCGTGCGAGGGTACTAATTACCCCCGGCTGTTTACACCCGGGGAAACGAAAGCATTAGCGAAGTATAAAGTTCATAAAATATCGCGGACGTGGCTCACCAACGATGTTTCGGTGGGTGGTCATCCTCACTGATCTCAAAAATATGGCGGACTGTCATGAATAGCGGACACTGATTGGTCCAATTTAAAGTTTGCATTATAACGACTGCATGACGACAGCGAAGTAGCAAACAATCAAACATTTCTTGATTTGATGATTGATTAAGTTCTTGCAAATATATTTCATTTTTGCTCGCATTTTTGCAAGATTTTGTAAATTTCAAAAGCTCTCTAAGAAAGAAACTGCGAAAGAATCGGCTAAAAGAAGGGGGCCGACGTTAACGAGGGTAAGTTTGTTTTAAATATTGATTTTATAATGGCTTTAAAATCCGACGGCCTTTGCGTATATGAAACAAGTAAACAAGACAGCAT